GCATCCCCCTTCTGTTCTGAAATGTGATTTGTCCTTTTCATATGTGTTCATTTTTTTAAATTGTATCCTTTGGTATATATGGTTGTGACTATTTTCTTCCACTATTTGATCTGAGGAAGTGGGTCTGGCCCACGAAAGCTCATCATCTAATAAATCATCTTGTTAGTCTTTAAAGTGCTACATTGTCCTGCATTTTGTTTCATTTCAAAGGAACTCAACATGCTTTGCAAATTATGTACAAACAACTGACAGACAGCCCAAAAAGGATGTGAGGATGATATGGAAAGGGGAATATAACTAGGTTTTCTGGTAACTGGTGGCCTGTGAGGAGCATACTAACTAATTTTAGCTTCTATAGCTGTATGGTTCTGCAAAACACAAACATGAAACAGTAATTTCAGCACCCAGCAATTTCCAGTGCAAATGTAAAGTTACAAATGCCTCAGTAAGAATGACAGCAATTTCTATATGAGCAAATTACCTTCTCCACACGAGAGTACCATTAGGTGTTCCCATAGTAGTCAGGTATTTGGTTAATATTTTTACAGCAATTTAGGGCATAGGAGTAACCAAGAAATATTAAAAGGGATATTAAAAACCGTATTATGAAAATTAAACCACACTATGAAAATACCTTTTACTGTGCCCTTGATTCTCTTCAGTCAGTGCTGTAAATCAAACACTTCAGCATCCAGATCATCCTGGAGGCCTCTTGCATTCAAGAACATGTGTCTAGATCAGTCCTTCTCACACTTGTTCACCTTGTGTTCCACTTCTTAAGACAGAAATATGCACACAGATATGTGCATTCCCTGTTCCACACCTTCACTGCAGCAGCTTGCTTGGTATACATGGGTATAGAGCTGTGCATTTATCAGGGCCAAATCTGCCCCTGTTACCTGCAGCCCTCCTTTTCACTTTCTCTAATCACTCCAGGTTACTTTTGTAGTTTGGGACTTTCCACCTGTGTGGAGGGATCTCCAGTTCTCGTCATCCGCGGATTTAATCACAGTTGCCTTGTATACAAAAGACAACCAATAGACATGAAGCAGTTGTGCAGGTGCATGGAAAAACATGGAGTTTTATTTTCCTTTTCATTGCCGTTCGTCAAAATAAATCCCTGAAAATGCAACAACAACAAAATCTGGGACTGGACTACAAATAATGAAAAGATTTCTATATTACTGTTTATTATTACAGTTTATTTTAGGAAGTGATTAATGTCATAGCCAATAGAAACGACACGGGAAAATTAGGTTCATTCTTATACATAGTTCCATGGTATCATGTGAATAACCACTAAGTTCTCTCTTGAGCCCAACCTCTCAAACAGAGCACAGCAAAGTATAGAGGTAGTTGTGAATTGACAATGAGTTATTTGTAGTCCCTACATTTGGGGATACTTTTATTTCAGCCCAGTCATATGTGCGGATTAGAGCAGCCTAGGGCCTCCGCTAAACTATATCAACTGGTAACGGTCCTTAAGGAGTTTCCCTCCTTAGGAGAATCAGAGCACTATTGTTTCCTATTCTGACTATGACCCTGCCACTCATGGAATACTCCCACATTGCATATATGAATGTGCACATATGACATTTCAAAAAGGCGGGTAAAGGCATGTGAATGTGGCCCAAGTGCCCTGTCCTGCAGGAAAGACGTCTGGGTCGCAACCAGTGTGCCTTGTGTCGAAAGGAGGGACACTGGAAAAATGAATGCCCCAAAAGAGAATGTGCCCCCATGATGGCAGCAGAGACTCATGAATAGGGGTGTCAGGGGAAACAGATCATCCTGCCCCCGGAACCCCGAGTAAAAATGAGTGTGGGAAATTCGGAAATAGACTTTTTAGTGGACTCTGGGGTGGCACGAACCGCCGTAAACCAACCCTTTCAGCTGCCCATGGCGGACTCCCTCACTGTGGTGGGTGCCACAGGAAAAGGAGCCCAGTGTCCAGTGTATGCCCCAGCAGAATGCACTCTGGGAAACAGAACTATAACTCACAAGCTGGTCTATCTCCCCGAGTGCCCAACACCGCTGCTGGGACAGGACCTGCTTTGTCGCTTAGGTGCCACCCTGCATTTCACCCAGGATGAAATAACCCTTACCTTACCCCCCGAGAATGCCTGGATAATGACTCTGGCAGCTGAGCCCTCTGCCGTGCAAGCCCCTGAGTGGAGCCAGTGGGAGGATCAGGTGTACCCCCTAGTATGGTCATCAGGGGTCCCGGGAAAGGCCACACACCAAACCCCTGTCAGCGTTAAGCTCCTCCTAGGCAAAAGGTTTGGAGCCCTATGGGCATAGTGGAAGGAATAAGGAAAGTAAGAATACAGTCATCAGAAAGTTAAATTAATAGGAATAAGAAACATTTTCTTTGGAAAGACGAAGCAAGTGATTTGAGGGTATGTGAAGGTGAAAAATGGACTCTGTGGAAGTGTAGAAGGAATTAAGCGATTGCTGTAATATATGAAGAGAAACCTGCTTTAAAACGTGACCTTGCTAACCTGTCCCTCCCTTAACCCGGCCACTCTTTTACCAGAGACAGAGCAGCAGGAACATGACTAGTTAATGAACGGGTTAATGAAGCTCCACACGCCATGGCGACCGCAGGCCAGTGGAGTGGTGGAACTCACAAATCATACCCTTAAGCGTCACCTCTCGAAAATCTGTCAAGAAGCCTCCCTACGGTGTCCTGATGCTTTGCCCATTGTTTTGCTCCACATCCGCGCTCTCCCAAAGGGTAGATTAGGGCTTAGCCCCTTCGAAATTATGTTTGGAAGGGCATGGCCTATGAATGGGACACCAGCTCTGGCAGGGGAGTGGAAACTGGGATGCGGCTTTTTATCTCAGTATATGTGCTCTCTGTCTGCTGCTCTCTCTTCTCTTCACAGGTACACCAAAGACTCACAGCCTCTTCCGCTGGATGCCCCTGTCCACTGCTTGCAGTCGGGAGACTCCGTGCTCATTTGTACCTGGAAGGACGAGCCTCTCCGGGAGAAGTGGAAGGGACCCCACACTGTCCTGCTGGTTTCCCACATGGCAGCAAAGGTTGAGGGACACAAAAACTGGATTTATCACTTGCGTCTGAAAGTAGTGCCCACATCGCCGCCAGCAGAACAGTGGACCATCCAGCCCACCAGAGCATCATCCACTGATGCTCTGGGACTTAAGTTGTTGTTTAAAAAGCGCTGAGGGGTTAGGGGTTCTGTTGGAAACATAGCTGCCCTATCCAGTAGACTCACCATGGGTTCTAATGCAGAGTTTGCCCTACTAATACTTTTGGCCACAGGTGCCAGTCTCTTGTTTTCCCCCGTGTCGCCATCCACGCATGCAGGATGGGGAACGGCCTCTGCAAACTTGGCTACTAACACATATGAAGCCCTAAAAGTTGCCTTAGCCCACGAATTTAATCTCTCCAACTGCTGGGTGTGTTCTCAAATCCCTCACCATGCAGCAGGGTTACCTTGGAGAGTGGTTCCCCAAAATTGTACCCAGGAGCAAAAATATGCTTTAAGTAATGAGTCCTGGCTTCCCTATTGAAACAGCTAAGTCCAGGTTCAAAATGTCTACCCTGGAATTCCCCCAGGCTGGCCAACCTTAACCCGAAATTGTACCCAGGAGCAAGACCCTAAAATTTTTGATTCCCTCTGGAACTGGCTATCTAGCCTGGGAGGACTGGGGGGAGGCATTGTTTGCCTCCTGCTTACAAGTCTTGTATTATGTCTCATCACTCCCCTCTTGATCACTTGCTGTAAAGCGCTCCTACATAAAATCTGTACTTCCCGTTCCCTGGGAACCCCACTATACCCTCTCATAAATGACCCCAGTTCCTTAGCACTTAAT